GACAGCATGAGAAGCTGAGGAGAGTTTATCGCTCCTCCGCTCAATATCACCTCCTTGTCTGCAAAGATCTGGAGAGTGAACAGATGAACTAGACACAGCAGTGCTTTAGGATAAATGCTAATGTCAGCATGCCGACTTGCTCGCAATAATTATTATGACATGGAAATGTCAACCTCAAGGAGAAGAGTCACAGGAACACCAAAATCATATGAATGTAGTCCGGGAATCATGAAAGGTAAGTGAAGGTTTGTGGTGCTAAACAAAACAGCACTAGAATTAAAGTCAGGGGATCACCAAAGTCCTCCTCTGGGCAACATCAACATCTGTACCAAATGTCACGGCAATCCATGCATTCAAATGTTGTCAGGGTAGATCTCTAATAGTCAGAGATGTGATTTTCACGGTACTATTAGAAGAAAAGTTAGGACATCTTCAAAGTCAAAGTCAGAATTCTTCCTCTGATGACCATGAATGTCAGGAAACCATTTTTGAGGTAGTGGTAGACCAACACTTCCATCCCTAGAGCCATGCCATTAGCGTGGCTAAAAAAAATATACATATTAACAAGGCACAAAAGATCATTTTAATTTTAAGATGTTTTAATAATAATAAACTTTTCACAACATAATTTTCTTTTTCCCATAGTTTAAAATGAAGAAAATTCGGCTCGTACCCTTTTCTTCTGCCCCTTTTGTGTGTATTCCACCCCCACAGCACGGTTTCCATCAAACAGGATCTTGGTGGTCAGGCAGCACACCTCTGTCTTCAGGTTGGGTCGACCCAGGGCAGGTCTCAGGTAGGCACTGGCTGTGTTCCACCTCTTCCCTGGACAGATGTAGGCAGGATTGGTTTACAGAAGATATACAGTATAAATGCTGCACTAAAGTTACAAGTGTTCTCAATGGTTAGTTCTTAATCAATTGTAGATCCTACAGTTCCCTAGTTCCTTGGTCATAAAACCTTTATAAATGGTCATGTCCATCCAGCCCACGCCTTCCTGCTGGTATCCATTCATGTCATCAGTGAAGGGGTATCCTGCCTGCTGCCCTGCCTCAATGAAAGCCCTGTGAAGGGGATGGTTCGTCTTCCCTCTGGTTACATGTAGAGGTCCGCTGCCACCCCGATAGCTACGGTACACAGAAGTACACAGAGTTAACTTTTTGTTTCTTCTGTGTAGGTGAGAACAGCTCCACGTCAAACTGCAACGTATCTGTCTGTGGGAATCATGTTCAGGTATAAAACAATGAACATTACAAGGACATAATAATTACTTTCTAACTACTAGTGCTACTTTTCTGTAGACAGCTGTGCATTTTAGTTATCAGACGACTCAATCACCATTTCATTTTTTTTTTTGCTTTCATGCCAATGGTCCAATCAGTGCTTTAGTGATGACAGGGTCCCTACAAAGGATGAAAAACATAAAAGTGCTGAGACCCTTCTACCTGTGTTCATTTTATAAAATAACCACATCTAAAATTCATTAGATCAAAACCATCTCTGCAGCTGTTTAATATGAATATTTGGAAAAAATGTAAGAATGTGAAAATGTGCTCACTGGTACAGAACTATCTTTAACTTCCAGTTCTTCCTGACTTCATGCTCAGGATGCATTTGCTTTACCTCAAAATTTAAACACAAAAAATGACTAAATTTTGTGCTTTATCTTTCAGTCTAATAACACTGCTCGTTTAGCTTCATATGGAGGCACAGTGTGGCGAAATTCTGTTCCAGGCTCTGATAAATTAAACACATTCTTACATTCATTTTAATGTGCGTAATATACATACAGTAGCAATATTTGATTTCTGTCTTGCACTGCAACATGTGAGATCTACTTCCCTGAATGTCATATTTGTTTACAAACCACAAAAGTCATTATCACCCTATTTTAGCACAGATGTTAATAGCTGAGATACTGTCTACCTCCTCATTTGCATGTGCTTCCTGGTTTCCAAGCTTCTTGTGCTAAAATTACATTGGGTCTGCATTTAAGATGAAATGTTCCTGTGCCCAGGATTTGCATGATAAGATCTTCACTGTGTCGGTACCTGTTTTCTCCCAGCTCATGAGACTGAGCCTTCCTGAAGTAAGGCAGACAGTGTTCATAATCCCAACCCTCAGCCCCCTCTCTCTGCCAGCGGTTGTAATCTTCAGCATGTCCGCGGATGTAAACCATGGCATTGAGTGAAGACGACCCGCCCCAAACACGGCCCCTCGGCCAGTACATCACCCGGTTGTCCACATTGGCCTGAGGCAAAGTGTTATAGAACCAGTTATACCTGCAGAAAGAAACACAGCTTATCACCAAATGGAGCAGATACTGTATCTGCTGGTGTATCAATTCTGAATAACAGGAGTTTCATGTTATTTTTCTGGGAGTGATATAAAAACACTGGACTGAAATGGTGCATCAATGTGATATGTGCATGATTAATTTATTAAACTTGCATGTATTTACTGGGGCTTTAGTGGTCTAGTGGCCTAAACAAACATAAACATCTGACTTTTTATGAATTTCAAGGAACTAATAGTTCTTCTGTGGTGATAGAGCACATTTCTCCTTTGGCATTTACAAAAACTGTAACATGATTAAACTATGGTGGTTAGTAGAATATTAAAGTTGACGTCTTGAGGATTGATGTGTTGTAAAGTCACGTCATGTCAAGATGCTACACTTTCTCTAAATTTGTGTTGAAGCGGTCTGTGCTTGCAAACACTTGAAAGTGTGTAGTTGTGAATGACACAAAAACAAACAAAATAATTTTAAACACCTGGCCCAAAAGATTTCAAGACCAGTGAAAGACAAGTTAAATAATCTGAGTGCAGTACTTGTCATCACAGAGGTTGTAGATCAGCGCAGCTGGCATGTGGATCTTCCATGAGAGTCGTACACTCCCTAGAAACCTGTCCTTAGGCCCTGCCTCCAGCAGCATCACAGACTCATGGGCATCCTCCGAGAGGCGGTTGGCGAGGACGCAGCCCGCTGAACCTGCCCCAACAATGATATAACTGTAGGATGGCGTTTTTTGATTGGCCGCGGCTGAGGCACTAAAGCACCTGTAATGGTTGGAGGAGAAAGAGCAGGAAAAGAAAGGCCCCGTGTTTCTGGTCTTGGGGATGAAGTGACATTCTGGCAAAGAGGTAAACTGGCCCCTACTGCTCCTCAGTAATCTCCCCCAAGTCGCAGCCACAACTCGTTGGGCTCCAGTTTGGCGTAGCACAGCCAGAGACAACATCATGCTTCTCTCTATTCACTGGCAAACACAAGAACACACACATTTATGTACACACTGGAAGGGGCAAGCTGACTCTGGAACTGACACTAGCAGATCGGACGGTGTTGACTGAGATTTATGCACTGTCCTGCTAAATGTGCCAATTGTGGGTCACAGAGAGGCTTTTAAATTGGCATTTTGGTTCCCCTGAATATTAATTGTTACTTGTACAAAACATTGTTCTCCTCAAACTCACAGTTTCAAAATTACTTGTAGTTAAACCAACAACTAGAAATGCCTGACCTGCAGCCTTGATTAGACTATTTGTCATGGTTCACTCACTGCTAACGTTTGTTTTTCTCTTAACTTGATTCATCAAGTAGCCACAATAAATTGTTAGTTGAAGTTGAGTGAATAAGAGACAGTTTGTGTGTCTCAGCCAGTAAGAATGAAATGCTCCTCCCTGCTGCTGCCTCACTGTGATTTAGCCTCATATGTGTCTTATCAGGCTAATACTCAAGGCAGTTTTTCAAAGGTAATGTGATCGTTTTGTGCAAAACAAAAACTACTCCGTTGTCTGCATCTGTGTGCAGGAGTGTGCAAAGTTCATAAAAGATTAAGGAGCAACTTTTTGATTAGAGGCAATTTTATTGCGTTATTTCAGTGAGGAATTGCAGTGTTGTTTTTCAGGCCAAGGCATAATCAATTAATCGAACTCACCAAAGTGCCTTAGATAAACGGAGCCAAACAAAGAATTCACACATGCAGGATGTCTGCAGTGAATCAATAACGTGAGACTCGTATTTTTGGGCTAGTTTGCATTACATGTTTATGACATGCCCATTTCGCAACCATAAACTTGGCTTATCAGTCAGATATAGCTGCAGTCTAGAGTTTACAGGTACCATAGTTCGCTAATATTGGTGGACTATTCATGAAATGAGTATTTTAAATGCTTCAAACGCTTTAAAATACGTTTAAACGGCATTCAAAACCTTAAGCTGATGGTCATAGCTTTTTATGGGACGTATCCGCTGACGAATCTTTATATTTAACCTAAGTTAACATCTAACTTCGTGTTCGAAGTTCACAGTCGTCTACAGTTTGCAGAACTGCAGTTCGTCTGAAATTAAACTGGAGTAGTTTAATGTCATGACACCGTTCACAGTTGACTTAAGCAGCTAAAAAAAAAAAAAAAATCCGAACTTACCCCTATTTTTCACACCGGAGCTGGGAGTCCCGATTTAGCGTCAACGCGAGCCAGCAGCTGTGGGCGGGGCCTAGTGGGCTGTACATAATAAGTTAACGGGCCAAAGCCGGAGCGTCTATCGCTCAAAGTTCATCCAGCAGATCAGGTATGCTGCTAGCTACACCGTCGGGTTAGGGCTGGGGATGATGCTGTGGAAGAATACCTCACGTTTCTGTGGTTTTGTTTTTGTTATTCATTCTTAGCGCATGTCTTCCATGATGTGGAGAGTCACAGTGATTTTTTTCTATGTGGTGTCTCGGGTGGCATCACATGAAATTGTAAGTTGTCTTTCATTATCTCATTATTTCAGATAAAAGTCAGTTGTAAAGTGAAAGAAGTATTTGTGGGATTTCTTTGCAGAAAGTGGAGTGCAGCGAAGCTTACGGTAAGTTGTGGCGTTTTATTCATACTGCGGATGAGAACTTCTCTGAAGTTAATAACATCAAGTTGGCTTAAAAACTGAAGCAACCTTTGAAGCTACTTCAGAATCAGACTTTCTTGGACAATTCTGACAAACTTTTTTTCTAGAACAAAAAAGCCATATGACACTAAAATGTATCATTACATTTTTTGGGGGCTGGTTGCTCTTTTAGCGTTGATGGAAATTCCATTATCTATACATGTAGTTCATTCCATCAATATAAAGAAAGAAGCTAATGTGAAATAAAATTGCATTAGCAGATAGATAGGCCCAGATTAAAGAACCGGAGTTCATTTAAAATGTTTGACTGAAATTTTATAAAAAAAAAAAAAAAAAGTTGCCACACATTTTACACCTCCAGAATTCATTATCTTGAATTAAAGCTTCTTTGGAAATATATTAGTGCTACATTGAGTGTTCTCTTGTGTTTTAACAAAGCTGCATTTAGAAAGAATTGAATATCAGAGAATGATATTATACACATTATCAGTATTAAGGCGATTACCACTGTTATCTCTTGTTCCAGATCTCCCTTCTACAAGTGATACCTCTCCATCTTTCCCGGAGGACTTGAACGTGAAGCAGGTGACAGTGGAAGGAACTGATATGCTGAACATCAGCTGGGCTATCAACATTGATGGTGGGACATCACCCCTTGTTGCTGTAGGAGACATCATACAAATGAGAAAAAAAGAAAAATTCTCTGAAATGACATCTCCAGAATTGATTATCATTATTATTTTAACTAGACAGCACTCAGAAAGCACAAACCTCTGCCAAGGCAGCTTGGTGTAAAAGCAATATTCCCACGAAAGTTTGACCATCATAACATGATTCCTTGACCATGAAAATGTACCCCTTGCATTTAGAATCACATCGATATCATCAGTAGTTTGATTATTATTCAAGAAAACAGTAGATATGAGCAATTAATAAATGCCACGAACAGCTAACTAAATTCCCCATGCAGACTAAAATAATGTGTACTCACAGTCTTTCATAGAGGCATGCAAATTGCACCATTTAAATGCATGTAAATCCACTATAGAGTCTGTTTTCCAAGGTGCCTCCTGCTATACTTTTTTACACTCACCTTTGCTCCAAGTGCTCGTTAGGGCAGCGTACACTTTTACCACAAGGGAGCACTCACATACTCACATACCTAAATATTGCTTTTCAAAGTGCTGTATATTATTTCCCCTTCACCCATGTGCACACACAAATACTCACACATTCACACCCCATTGATATCATTTTCATCTGGAGCAACTAGGAGTTCATTGTCTTGGTCAAAAACACTTTGATACATGGACCAGAGTAGCCAGGAATTGAACTGCTGACCCTACAATCTAACGGATTGTTCTGTGGGCCGCACCTTACCTCTCCAAAAAAAAAAAAAAAAAAATCATCCATATCCATTAATCACATTTTCAGTTACTGTATGTTGTGAACAAGCCAACGAATACCTGTAAAAACATTATCTCATTGATGGAGGTAATTGGAAGAAAGCAGTTTAATAATTGTTACATTAGCTTTTAAAACAAGCAATGTTGTTACACCTTCAGTGTTTATTCAATAAAAGAAGAGATTTTCTCATCTTCATTGTACTTGACAAACAGGACTTTAGTCTGGTTGAGGTGACACTGGACTAGGCAGCGGGTACAAGTGTTTATATATAAATATTTTAGCTGTTACAAGCAGATAATATATCAAATAAAAGATTCCTGATAGATTTTTTGTTAAGGCAGTGGACCAAAGAAGTATCGTTTTTTTATTCAAAGCCATTATGAAAACAGAATAATAATCAAATAGAAAAGAATAATCAAAAGTTTGTGCATTACGTTAGGTGTGATACAGGAAGAGCCCCTTAATGATAAGGGCACTAACTGGCCGATATCTGAATATCAACCTTAGCAGATGTTTTGTCCTTTATAAACGCTGTAATTTTCTGTCTCTCTGCAGCTAGTATTGAATATCTGACAGGTACTAGAATCGAGATATCAGGGGAACTAGCTTACCTGTGTGAATACAGCCCACGCTTCGCCCAGGCAGGCCTCACTGGGTCAAAGAAGGTATCATAGGCTAACTAGAGTTTATAATACGTTTTTGTCTGTTTAAGTAATGATTGTTTGCAGAGTCTGTGTTTGAAATAATAGACCTACCAAAGAGTCTATGAGGTTGAAAAAATAAAATCATTGCAATTATTGTCATCTTTTTGAATCTAGAGATGGTTTCATTTTTTAGTAATGGCAAGTGAGGGTTACCACCTCATCCAAGCTTCCAATCTTCCCCTGCCTCCAGTTGGGAGTGGCAACTATATCAAGTATACCAGTATTGAGTTATTTCCTTCAAGACTCCCAGGTAAGTCACTTTTTTTTATTCACAACTTTACTGATACCTAGCAACATAAGTAACCTATAGAAAAGTATTAAAATTTTTAAACTTTCTTCTCAAATTTTTAGCAACTGTCACACCAGAGCCTACTCAAGTTCCTACAGGTGAGGAGTCCCATTTGCTTGTGCATGTAGTAATAATGTATACTACTTTTCATTAAAGATGTTGATTATTCAGTCTCCATTCTATTTTTTTTTAAGATTTTGCTGCAAATGAGATCCTTGTTTCATGTAAGACTCTATAATTAATTAAAGCACTGACAGTTTATACAGTAAATCAGTTACAACTCAATATTATATGAAGTAAAATAAGACATGTTTTGTATTCATCTGTACAGCCTTGAGAACAGACGGTATCACCGTGATCATTTCGGGAGGACTGGCCTGTTTGATTATCCTGGGCTCCTGCTACATAATCTGTAAATACAGTACAACACTTTTTAAATGTACATTTAGAGGGAAGAGGACCTAGTCACCAGAATTGCACATAATACATTAAAATTTAAGATCAACATAATGCACGCTTTCTCTATGTGTGCAAAATATGGTTTATTTCAATGATAATTTAGTTTTCAAATTTATTATCCCAATGTCAAAATTAGCAAAACTGATCCCTTCTAACAAGTTTAGAGACTTTCCTGCCAATGTTTTATGCATTCTTTTAGGTATAACCTGAGTCACTTGGCTATTGGGCCAAAATATTTTAAGCTTTCAAAATGCTTTCCAGTCATTTACAGTGATTGTTCTGTCACACTGCAAAGAAACATATCTTTAACTATTCTACTGACTAAATGTCTTGTCATTTTGCACTGGAAACATGGTTTATCTCCTTGATTTAAAGGTTGTATAAAAGCAATACTAAAACATCAACCTTGAGCTCACTATAGCTCTTCCATAACAATTTAGAAATTTCTAACAGATTACATAAATTGTTTGACTCTGCTGGCTCGTATTTAACACAGCTAATCTCTCCTTTGCCATGTTTCTTACTCCCCAGACAAAACCTGTGGAGCTAACATTACCAAATCATTTGGTCTAAAGAGTTTACCTATGGTTCCTGTCCCTGTTCTTGTGGTGTACCCTGCTGAGAATTCAGTCTTCCAGCAGGCCGTGGTGGCCCTGACAGAATTCCTACAGTGGCATGGCAACTGTAGTGTAGCTGTTGACATGTGGCAGCAGGGGAAGATTGCAGACCTGGGGCCAATGCGCTGGCTGGCAGAACAGGTTAAGGCTGCAGACAGAGTGCTCATCGTCTGCCCACAGGTAGAGATTATAAACTGTATGTAATCTATCATTTATTTCTTGCCCTCTGCTTTCATTGTGCAGCATGTTATTATTTGTCAAAGGTTAAGCCAGCTAAAATAATGCAGTGATGAGAAACTGAAACTTCAAATAATGTCATTATGCAATAAAATCAAAGGAGAAAGAAACATTTTTGTTAACACTAGATACAGTAGATGTCACTAAATGCCCAAAAGAGTTTAAAGACGTCCTTTCTTCTTTCAGTCCTCTTCACAGCCCAGCCACAGTCCCCCCACCCACAGCTTCCCAGAACCCTCCATACCAGCTGCAGCTTATGACCTTTACCCCTTGATTCTTAACATGGTAGCAAGCAATGCAAAGAATGCCAAAGAGCTGGCTAAGTTCTGGGTGGTGCAGCTGGGCGAGCAGCAGGCCAAAAGGCATAGTAACCTGGCTCTGGAACTGAGGTCGTGTAGCACTTTTTATTTGATGAAGAATTTGAACCAACTGTGCAGAAGTCTTCATACCCAGAGAGAGGGCAACAAGGCAATATTCAATCTGATCTTCAGACCGGAGGTTGTCTACAGTGAAAAGAGTACAGTGAAGTTAAGAGAAGCTGTAGAAAATCTAAGCAGACATCAACTAAGCATTTCCAGTGAGATGGAACCATTGAGATCTGTGGTCAGCTCTGTGTGAACATCTGTAGTGACAATGTTTAGATTTATGATTTTTGAATAACTGATTATGCTTATGAATTTGTAAAATTCATTTATTTATTTTACAGATGACTGTTGGTTACTGAATCCCCTGCATGAACACTGCAGGGTGGATATGTATGTCTCTCAGTATATCTTCTGTGGTTTCCAGCATAGCATATGCAGTATGCTATGCTGGATAAAACAGTGAGGAAATAATTGATTTGTTGAATCTGCCATGTGTATTTCTTTTGCAATCCCAAAATATCCCTAAGTTTCAGTTTTCAAGATCTACTAACTGAATAGTCTTGCTTTCATTTTGTGTATCACTGTTGGGCAGGGATGTCATGGTATTTTAGAGTATATATTAAAATAAAGTGAGTTAAATATGTTTGTTTAAATATTTGTCTTGTATAACATATATGGAATATGTTATAAAACATATATATAAACTATAACCCGAATGACAGGTTTTGTTAGGTTTCCTATACCTATAATATTTGTGAAAGGTAGTGCCAGTGTGGGTGCCTTGTGTGAATAAGGGGGTCCTTTTGTTATTAATTAATAAAGTAAAAAAGGGGGGCTTTTAACTCAGGTGTCCATTGTATCCATTTTACATAATTTATCATGTCGTCTACATGGACCATAAGCACGGACGGGAAGTAGCGCAATGAAAAAAAGTCATTCAACGAATAGAAATAGCTGTTTTGCACCACATGACCAAACACGGAAGTAGAATCTTCCTCTGCAACAGCTTTCCGTTCAAATGGAAGTTTCTTTCTTGTGGGCTTCTTTCTGAAGACATTTACAAGCGCCAGAAGGTCGCGACTCATTGTTTCTGACTGTTTAGTTATGTGAATGAAAGCGGGACCATGACTCAGGCTGAGAAAGAACAGGCCAACGGGAAAGAGAAAGAAAAGGAACGAGAGAAGGAGAAAGAGAAGGAGCAGCAACGCGGGGTGAAAAGACCAATCGTTCCTCCGGCTATTCCGGAGCCTCTACAGGAGGTGAGCTGGAAAGTCGAGTGTTGTCTGTGGTCGTATTTGTATAATGTAGTCGAATTTGTTTGAATTTCAAGCCCTGTTCTTCGGCCTGTTTAGGTTCTCTCTGTCCTGGACTAAACGGCGCTTAATGTGTGTTAACTTTACCTAGACTATCATTAGTCAGGTTAACGTTACAAGTTTAGTTTAGTAGATTATTTTTATTATGGTAAAGCTCTTCATGGTTCTATCTATTAATCGTAGCCCATACGTAACAAAATGTCAAAAGTTCTGCGAAAAGCTCATTAGAAGTTACAATAGCGCCAAAATAATGCCTTTTGTTGTTTACAAAAAGGGCCCCCAATGTTCAATTGGCATTAATACAAGGTAGCTACTTTTAGTACTTTTCATTGATACTGTTTTGTGTAACTCTAATTGCAGCGACTATTTAGTTTTACTTGAATATGTAATGTTAATTAATGAAATATGATGGCCATTCATTATTATTTCTGTTTGTACAAACAGAAATACCTGTTTCATAGCTTAATTCTGGGCAATTTTGCAAAAACTAACAAGTTTTAAATATCCCTCTCTCCATCAGCTCCTTTCAGTGTAAATACTTTTAATAGGTTACAGGTTTCCTCAAAGTTTGACAATGTCTAGTTTTTGTTGACCAGTAAGCATGTGAACACCCCTGTCCACACACCTTTTCATGGTTTGGGCTTAATCCTACTATGATAACATGCAATATTTCATACAATAATGTGTGTCCAACAATGTGGGAACTGTTTGGAGAAGGCTAATTTCTGTATCAAGATGACAATATCCCTGTGCACATAGTCCGGTCCATAAATACATGGTTTAATGGGTTTGGTTTGGAAGAAGCTGACTAGCCTGCACAGAGTCCTATGTTGTAGATATCAGGGAGCAATACGATACATTTATAACACTGGCACCCAGTACAAAAGCAAAGCATTAACATGAGGAAAAAGTGTTTCAATTATCAGTGTAGTTTGAACCAAATTCTAAGGTTTCCTGAGTATATAATCTTTTATTTTTGGGATGAACTGCAGTTTTGACTGTGAGCCAGGTTCTAACATGTGTTCAACCTAGCTAAAGACTTTGCGGTTGAATGGTAACTAATCCCTGCAGCAGGTTTCAAAATGTCTTTAGGAAAGTAGGCTGTTGTTGCAGCCTATGGTTTTAGAATGAAACAAATATACTGCATGTAAATGCAATATTCAAGTGTCCACATACTTTTGGCCAATATGAATAGTCTGACCTTTGTTCTCCTGTTCTCAAAATATCTACAGAATATTTTTCTCTTTTACAGCAAATACAGAGCAGTTTTGTAGTTGTCATTCACCCTGGTTCAAGGACACTGCGCATTGGCCGAGCAACAGACACTCTTCCGGTGACTGTTCCGCATGTGATAGCACGCAGACACAAGCAAAGTGGACAGCCCAGATATGAAGACACCTGGTTGTTGAGAGAGGGTCTAAATGTACATCACTGATTCACCCACAGTACAATCTATTAGCCTGTCTTACTCTGCTGTACTCAAATTATTTTAAAATTTGTGGGGGTTTTTTTTTTATGTGTTGCTTCTTTATGCTGTCCAACAGAAACCAGAAAGTAATGAGCAGAAGCAGAATGGGCTTAAAATGGTCGACCAGGCCATCTGGTCTAAGAAAATGTCAAATGGAGTGCGGAGGACTCCTGTGTCTGCTGAACAGGTGTGTAATATGAAAGAGTCAAACATGAAGAGTAATACTGCATTACTCACAGATAGCGGCAAAGTGATTCAATTCCATGAAATGAGAAAGAGACATAAGTGTTGTTAAGGAAATTAAGAATAGACAGATTTTATATTATATGACTCTAATGTTTATAGCAATGCGTACTGTGGGATTTATTGCTATTGCTATTTTAAATACAAACATATACTTTAATCTGCAGAAGTTTAAACTAGAATCTATTTATTATACAAGTTATTGTGTTTGTGTGTTTAGGCCCGAGCCTATAACTGTCAGATACGTCCAGCAGTACTAGACAGCAGCTCAAGGGTGAAATGGACTAACACAGCCCACCATCCTCCTTACCTGGTGGGAGAGGAGGTCAGTGAATATGCCTGAAAGAATTAACTTAGGCATCTAAAATAATTAATCTAAAGTCTGTTTTTTTTTTTTAAGTCTGTCATTTTTCTTCATATTGCTTTTTCTCCCTCCACACACCCATCATGCAGGCTCTTTATGTGAATCCTTCTGACTGTTACAACATCCACTGGCCTATAGTCAGAGGTCAGCTCAATGTGCACGCCGGCCCTGGGGGCTCTCTCACCGCCGTCCTGGCTGACCTAGAGACAATCTGGAGTAATGTCATTCAAAAGCATCTCGAGATCCCCCTCAAAGATTTGAAGGTAGGAGAAATATCTGCACTCACCCCTGTCTTCTGTGCGACAATATTGGAAGTGCTGTGCAACATGTTGAAACTAGAAAATAATAAATATTTTAAATAATTAAAACAAGCCAAATGAAGAAAGGTTTTTAATAATAGTAATATTAAATTGTGTTGTTTAGCATTGCATATAAAAGTTTATTCACTGTGATAAACTAAAAGGTTTAAAACTATAAGTGCCTTCAAAATATTTATACAAATGCAAGGAAAAAAAAAACAAGATGAATGGGTGCACAAACATTTAAGCACATCTGCTATAAGAAGCATTTAACAAAGTAAGATAAAGAGTTAATAAGAATGAGCAAGACTCTGGCTACAGATTTTAAGTCGTCAAAACATGCTGAAGTGTTCCACTGAAGAGAGTTGAGCAACATCAAAAAAAGTTATTCAGTAAACCTTGAAAATTAGGTCAAACTTCACTGACAGTGGAAACACATTTGCTCTGACAATTATGTTTCGCTTTTGTCCTGGTTGCCAGTATTACAGATGCATCTTATTGGTCCCTGACATCTACAATAGGCAGCATATCAAGGAAGTGGTCAACATGTTGCTGCTTAATATGGGTTTCTCAGGTACTACACAGGACAAACCCAGATAATTGTGAGTATACAATCACTTTTTTCTCTTGCCTTCACTTCAGCTTCTCTCCTGTTGTGTGCGTGTGTGTGTGTGTGTGTGTGTGTGTGTATAGCAATCATCGTTCACCAGGAGTCGGTTTGTGCTACATTCGGTAGCGGGTTAAGCAGTGCTTGTGTTGTGGATGTAGGAGACCAGAAGACCAGTCTGTGCTGTGTAGAGGATGGAGTGTCCCACCGGAACTCCAGGTGGGCCCGAGAACCACCTTTTAGGTTCAATTTCTGTCAAGGAAATCATGTATTATAAGGGTTTAAGTATAGTGAGTGTTGGATCAATGGTTATCAATTATGGTGACATCTTGCTTATTTGTCTGTTGGACTCGGCAGGTTGTGTTTGGGCTACGGAGGCTCAGATGTGACGCGCACTTTCTTCTGGCTTCTGCAGAGGGCAGGCTTTCCGTACAGAGACTGTCAGCTGTCCAGCAGATTGGACTGTCAGCTTCTGCAGCATCTAAAAGAGACCTTCTGCCATCTAGATCAAGTGTGTGTTAGTCAAGGACTGGAGTCTGTGTATTCAGAGAATGTGTTGGGTAACTGTGGCTTGTATGTCGATCAGTTTCACTAAAGTGCCAGCATCTTTGTTTCTAGATAGACATCACAGTTGCTCTTAAGAATGAAAGTGAGAAATCTGTAGTTTTTCAGACTAATTCCAAAATGTCTTTCTTGCATTTATTTTGAACAGGACATATCAGGATTGCAAGATCATGAATTCCAGACACGCTTCCCAGAAGCACCAGCTCTTCTCTACCAGGTTCGACTAGGGGATGAGAAATTACAGGTACATACTGCAATCAATAATGAGAAACTGAGCTGATTTAAGGTGCTCTTTACATTATGCTAGAACTAGTATTTATTTATGGCTCCATTTGTCTCTGTCCTCCTCATATTTTCTGGCTCGTGTGTGTGTCTGTGTATGCACGTTAGGCACCCATGGGTCTTTTCTACCCGACCACATTTGGCATCGTAGGTCAGAAGATGACATCACTTCAGTGCCGTTCCCAAGGCGATGCAGAGGATCCTCATGATGAACACTACCTGCTTGCCACACAGAGCAAACAGGACCCGGTAGCACAAGCACACCTTCTCATGCACCGTTTCACACATTCATTTAAATCTAATTCCTTCAGATAGATGAGATGCTCTCTGGTTCTTGTCTTTTTTTCTTATTCTGCTGCTTTCTCCATCAGTCCTCAAAATCTGCTGCAGACCGGAAAGCTATTTGCAGACCAGGTGGAGGTTTGGATGGTGAGATGAGTGGTCAGGGAGGGATGGGAGACCTCTCTGAAATGCCCAGGGGCTGTGGGAGTGGCAACAGTGGAGGAGGGATGCAGGGGGAGATGGATCTTGGACCCGTTCAAGGGGAGTGCCTGATGGGGGCAGGAGAGGTGGAAGAACCTCTGTCTGCTCACCTCTCCAGGAAGACCGCCATCATGAGCCAGTTTGAGAGCAAAGCACTTGGACTGGATAAGGCCATCCTGCATAGCATCGACTGCTGTGGTAAGGAGGAAAAGAGCAAGTAGGCAGGATAAGCAGGAGTGACAGCTAACTGCCTTAAGATACATGCAGCACTGCTCAGGAATTAGATGAAATAGAAATAAGAAAAGCTCGTGTGTTTTTTGGTTGACAGCATCAGATGAAACCAAGCGAAAGATGTACAGCTCCATCCTGGTAGTGGGAGGAGGGCTCATGTTTCACTGTGCTCAGGAATTTCTGCTTCACCGCATCATCAACAAGATGCCACCGTCCTTCAGAAGGCTGGTAGACAATGTGGACGTTATCACACGACCAAAGGTAACCCAGGATGCATTTTAAGCATGGTCTATATAGACAGGTAGCTCCTCTACCGTACCTGTATATTAATGTGCACATGCTGTAGGACATGGACCCTCGTCTGATATCTTGGAAGGGGGGAGCAGTTCTAGCATGTCTGGACACCACCCAGGAGATGTGGATCCACCAGAGGGAGTGGCAGCGCTTTGGTGTCCGAATGCTTCGTGAGAGAGCTGCCTTCGTTTGGTGACCAAGTTAAGACAAGCTCAAAATGACTGAATTTTTTATATCAGATTTATACTGTGGATGAAGCAGTGCTTTGGAATGAAAATAGTTTTCCTCATCAAAAATGTAATTTACTATGACAGCTATACAAACCTGACAGTCCCACAATTATGGCACTAACCAATTTTTAAATTCTGTTGGCTGTCTCGTATCAAACATCAAGATGCAGCCATTGCTGTGTAGCTTTGAACAGCCGTCAAAAGAAGTTTATGGACATTCTGTAAATATTACTGCTCACCTCCTATGTTTATTAATGTCTGGAACTGTGTAAATAAACCAGCCCTACTTGAATACACAATAGTTGCATTTGATTTGAAAAACCACTCTTCCTGAGTCATGAACATACTGAATTTAAACAAGGCTATGTCCAATACTACCTAAATCTCACAGGTCATCTAACTTGGTACTTTTAAATCATGTTATGCAGCAGTTGTAGATGAGTAAAAATGACAAACTTAACATTTTAACAGAGCACAATTTTATTCAAACAGAGGGATACAAAACATTAACTTTGAGTTCCAGAAGGGATGACCTTAACAGAACGGTCAGTGACACACACCTCTAAGAGGCTAGTGTGGAAGGACAGAAGGAGGAAAAAGGGAAGACATGATGTGGTTAGCTGATGCATCAGCCATTCTGGCCCCTGTGTGTAGGAATTCCCAGAAAGGCGTCAAGAAACTGCTCACGGCAGCGGCAGCTGCAGAAGAGGGGCTTCAGCACTGTGACGTCACCACCTTTTGTCATGTTCTCAGTAAACAGACACTGTGCCAGGCCCCACGCCTACAAATCCTATGTAGGCATTTACCTAGAGAGAAGGTGTGATGTTGTGTTCACAATTATCTACTGAGCAATTAAAAAAAAAAGTAACTTAGAAATGTTTACACACTTAAGAATGTAGTTTTTCAGCTATGAGACTAAGCTTCTAATCTCACTTGGTAAAACAGGCTCCAGGAATAGAAGGTTTGAAATAACAAGAAGTTTATCCAGTGAGCAACATTAAGTTAAGAACAAACCATTACTCACCTTCCTCATCCTCCTCCACCCATTGGTGGCGGACCGGGACCCGCTCCAGGGTTTATTCTTCCCATCCGCCTTCTGCTACCAGGGGGACCGGGAGGACTGCAAAAGTGAGTAACAAAAGAGGGGTTTGAACAGTAGTAAAAGAAGAGGCTAAAGAAAAGTGTTGGAAAAGGCAGTGTTAGGTATTTTTAGTTAGATAGATATTGGTTAGATACTTTATGTATTAGAAATCTTTAGGGTAGACAGGATGTCTAGCTCAGGCTGTTAAATGCTTAGTCATTCTCATGGGGTACTCCAGGTTGTTCAGGTTCAAGGATAACTAGACAGAAAGTTGATTATTGTTAGGAGACAATGTTTAGTCTTACTGTTATGACGTGTTTAACCATAGTCGTAGTCATAATATTTTCTTATGCTTAATGTCATGTCAGAATGTTTTTAGCTACACACCACATAATCAACCGACATTCACACATTGATTTTCTTCATGCTTTGATTACTGCTATGGCCAGCTGCAAAGCTGGCACCGGGAGACGTCACGGTTTGGCGTCCCGGCGTAGTATGGGGCTAGCCCGAGGTGATATAATGTATAGGCCTGTTATGGTTCAGGGCTTTTCATCTTTCAGCTGCCTGCATGCATGTTGGAGGTGCAAAGACTTCTGGGCGTGTAATGTTAATTTTTACCTGTGTTCATTGACTAAATCAGCACTGTTTTGAAGTTACTTGGACTGCTTCTTCTCTCAGAGTTAACGGTGAAAAGAACTGTGTCTCCAACAGCAGTAAACTATTTTTATTTTTTAAACTGGAATGCAAGGAACTGTCAACACATGAGAAAAAGACACTCTTCCTGAAATGCACTCTGATGCAACTCGCTCTACTCAATTCTGCAGTTCTGATGTCAGGACTATCACTGGACTACAAAGAAATTTACATATAACTCTAGTCACCAGTGGATTCTATATGTGGATCCACAGCTGCAGCATGCAAATGAGGAACTGGAGACAAAAAGATGTTTTCATAACACCACACTTTTTACTCCTTCAAGTAACACGATGCCCAGTTCCAAAGACCATCTTCATATGTCAGGCACATGTGTTAGGTATTTTTTGTCAGATAGATATTGGTTAGATACTTTATGTATTAGAAATGTTTAGTGGAGATAGGATGTCTAGTTAGACTGTTAAATGCTTAGTCATGCTTATGAGTTTCTACAGGGTACATCTGGTCAAGGATAACTAGAGAGAAAAGTTGATGACTGTCAGCAGACAGGGTGTTTAATATTATTATTATGACGTGTATAACTGTAGCCTTAGCCATAATATGTTCTTATGTTTAATATCACGACATGTACTAACTAGAGGTCGTGAGAATGTTTTTAGCTACACACCAGTTAACCAACAGACACACACACATTGATTTACTTCATGTTTTGACTACTGCTATGACCAGCTGCAAAGCTGGCACCAGAGACGTCTCGGTTGACGTTTCTGTGTAGTATGGGGCTAGCCCAACCGAGAGGATATAATGTACAGGCCTGGTGGGTTCAGGGTCTTTTCATCTTACATCTGCCTGCGTGCAGTTTGGAGGTGCAAGATACCTGAGCGTGTAATGTTAATTTTACCTGTGATCCTTTGAATGAATCAGCACTGTTTTGAAGTTACTTGGACTGTCTCATCTCTCAGAGTTAGCAATGGTAACAAGAACTGAGACCAACACATGCTACCACTCAGACTACTTCCACTGTTATCAATGTTCATGAGAACATTCCCCATGTGTGTGTGTGGCTGTTGAGAAATGATTGTGCCCCAGCAGGGACCTACCCTCTGCCATCAGAGTAGCGTGATGACACACTGTTTCCATTCTTTGTCAGGTCAGGGTGGATCATTGTCTTAAAACTGGCAGAAGACAAACAACAAAGTGGGCAGCAGAGTCAGAGATGATATAAAACGTCATTGTTTTCCCCAATCCTTCGTTATATGATGAAATACCAGCGACATAAATGACATTCCCACACACTTCCACCTCAGTAGCAGATATTAGAATGCTAATCCCCCAACTGAAGTTGGTAAACATTATACCTATTCCAGAACAGTATTACTGCATGTGGCTCACTTTCATCAATGAACACAGATAAGCTCCTGCACCTTTCTAAATAAGAAAAACATAACTGACAACACAGTGGTTACCATAATTACAAATATTAATTAAGCCTCAGAACACTTCAAAGTAATACACGTATTTTTTTTTTACATATATCCATTCCCGTTGATAGGGTGCCCTTTTGGTTTGACTGATTCGATATGTGCGCGACTGACTGACTTACAACAGGCTGAGGAACTCCACCGCCTCCCAGAACAGATCGACCAGAAGGGACAGTCGCCATGGTGACTGCGCCCTGCTGTCCAGGACCTGACCTGAGAAATAAGGTGATGGAAGACACAGGAGTATGTGACATTCACACTCAAAAATAAGAGTCTGTGAATTCCTACTCACTTAATAGATTAGCCAGTAATACTCTTCTTAACCTAGCATTCAGTCACACGAGCTAACAGCTTGAAAGCGAAAAACAAAACAAAAGGGCCCCGTGTGCCAAAGGCTAACATCATTTTAGCTTTAAGATGCTTTTGAGAAACAGTGGTCAGGTTTGTTCCATCGCCTGATGGTCAACGTAACTCTCTCGGTACGTTTATTGCAGTTAACACTCAAAATACATGCTTATGAAACACGGGAGGATGCCCTCTTATAGAAGATTCGCTAGATTAATTCAGCAGCGTTTCAGATACGCAAATCCAGTAAGACTAAGCTAACAAGCTAATGTGCTAAACGTAACTTAACTATCTGCTATCATTACACATTCCTGGTGAAGCGGTATGTTTTAAGTAGAAATGCTCGACGCAGAAAAACTACATCTACAAAAAAGCTACATATTTGTTATAAAGATGAGAAAACTGTCAAAACACGAGACAAACCACTTACCGTTGGACACGTACACCATCCTTCAGAAAGCAACAACACCGCTCCTCAGTTGTTTTAATAACTGACGTTACAGTTCCGGGTCCATTATTGTTGCGTCATCGCCGTACACGCATGTGCAGCTGTTGTGAGAAAGAAATGACTTGGCAAAAACAAATGCTTTTAATGTAATAAAACAAAACAATTAACTCATAAGACACGATTTAATATATTGTCCACTTCCTTAAAGAGCCCATGGCATGATTTTCCTTGTTTTCTTATCTACAATGTTACAACAGTGAATTATCATAGTAGACGTGACTTAAAGCTAAAAAAAAAAATGAAGTGAATGCATATTCTAGTAGTTCTATGCATAAGCAATTATGTTTTCAATAAAGCTTATTAAAAAAAAAAAAGACCCATTTATTATTTTCCCTTCTGCTGCACTGTGACCAGAGCATGTGGAAGAAAATACAGGGCCTGAGGTTAATGCATGTCCAGGGATGTTCCTGTACACATGTGATGTGTTGCTGGTTAAGGAGCTACTCTACCTGTTGTAATTAATTTCACTGCTTTGGGACTGTATGTGGTTGTGTAGGGGAAGACCAAGCAACGACCGGTTGGATTTACCAACCATGGAGCTACTTGAAAAAGAGTGATGTTTCCACTACTCGGCGGGTCTTAATGGTAAGTTTTAAAAAACACATGTCTGTTAATGCCTTGTTTTACTAAGGTTAGAGAGAATTGTTGTAAGGCTGGAGAAGTTACTATGTCAGCATTATGCCACTTAAAATATGGAGTTTCTCAATTACCCGCTTTACTGTTACAAATCTCTTTTCATTTATACATATACTGTTGTTTACCTACCTATGGAGGAGAAATTCAAATTAATTAATATCGTCATCATACTTCCTTGTGAAGCTTTGTTACTTTTTTTCTGTAAAATGTTTGTACTCCACATATGAAAAACAAGAGTTTCTAACTCAACTGGTGTGAAAAACGGTGACCTTTACTTCTCAATTGCCATAGAGAGGCAAATACCTGCCTCCATTGATAATTGCTTTTTTAGTCATCAGTGTGAACATAGAGTTGGCTGAACCAATTCTGATCAGCTGTTCCCATCTCAGGATTAATCAACTCAGAATTAAGGACTGACCTCATAGTTAGTTAAACCTGTTTTCTAGAACAGTCCCTGTATATGGTTTTGTTTCCTTGCTTGTGGTATAACTTCTGCAGTCATTAAACAAAATCATCACTACATTTTTTTCTTGGACTAAGAAACCTAAGAGAGCCAATTTTGGCCTCTGCTTTAACAAGAAAGTACATACAGATTTAAAGTTTTTGTGGAGTTTTAATATGCAGTACAAATGTGCCCCACTCCCCTCCCTACCACATCTATAAACATTCAGATTCAAACATGAAATGTAGTAAACAAAAGCAAAGGTAGCTTGGTATTGATGTGTCAATCGTTTAGAATAGATTTGGTGACTTAGGTCATCCATTATCATTCAATAGATTTACAGCAAAGTGTAAGTAGTGCCTGTGAATGCATCTTAACATTTAAATAAATTCCATGTTTTCCATTTTATAAAGTTAACAAAAGGACTTTGCACTGTCCTACTACCACCCCACCTGCACCAAGTTCTGAAACCTACAGCATGGGTTTTCTGCTCAACACCAATGCTGTTTTTTTATTGGAATGTGAAAATCCACCAGTTCCAGTACTACTCAAACAAATATGGTGGAAAAACAGCACTATCGTCTCAGCCTGGAATTAGTCTACAAATTAGGAACAAACTATTCATTTTGGATTCATTATGCATACTGCATTCAGTGTGTTGCACTGAACAATATACGGCTAAACATCTATAGTATGAATACTGCCACCTATTTAGACAAATTCTCAACAGTATACACTGAAGTTGTGATGTTTGCTTATAAACCAGGAAAAATTAAACATCTGAATACTGCACTATGTGACATTCATGCAAAAGAATTAAATAAAGAAACTAAAATATTAGGGATATGTCGGAACATATAAAAGAGGGTTTGACCTTAAGCGTTTCTGGGAGAGTAGCTGTTATGATTTACTTGCCTGATAGCCACACTTACAGGTAACTTGTCCAAAGTCGGAAATGTAGGCCTGTTTAAAAAGTTCAGACCAGCTTTGAAGGAATTTCCTGTGTTGTTTCGCTTTGTAACCTTCCGGTGCTGGTTTCATTTTATTGTCTGTTTTGCCTGGCACTTGGCCAGTTTTAGGTGGTTGGAGAAATATTTTAAGATAAAAAACAGATGGTTGTTCGCTATTCCATTGTGGCAACAGACACAACCCAATGCATCATAGATGGCTAACAACAACCGTTTTCAACACGGAAAAACAGATACAGACTATCTTATATATTTATTTATTTTTAAACTTTTTTGTTTTTACTTGCTCAGTCTGACAACTGAATGATGTATTCCCAGAGTTGCCTTGCCCCAGACAAACGTTAATGTCGAGCCCTGTAAAAGTTGGCAACATTACGGGGTAAGTTTTCTCTTAATATGACCAATCTGGATGTACTACAATTTCAATTCAATTCCATTTATTTGTATAGTGCCAATTCACCAATGCTGAAATATAACACATCAGACCATGTTACTCATTTTTTCTGGTCTGAGGTTCAGGTCTTGTGCTACTGTCATTATACTTCTGTAAATTGTCATCTTTTTCACAGTCATGGGATTCAGGTCCTGTGCTCTCTTCACCACTCTTCTTTGTGCTGCAGTGTTTTTCACTGATTTGAGGTTCTGGTCGGGTTCTCTCTTCACATTTATCTGTGTTGAACTCTTCAACCTTACCGTGGGGGTCAGATATTTGATCTCCCATGGGTTTATGTTTATCACATTCTTGGTCAGCTTCTGGTTCAGTGTTCTTTCCATCTGACTTTTGTGCATCAGTCTCTCTCTCCGGTTTCCGATTGGCTGTACCTCGAAAAATACCAGCTTTGTGAAGCTCACGACGTACAGTTTTTACTGAGACAGTGTGAGAGAGGTGTCTATTCAACTCTGAGGTTATTTTTGAGGCCGTATACTCAGGGTGTTCATCAACTATCCCGAGAAGTGTCTGTCTATCCTTTTCGGTAAGCTTTGACTTGCGCCCACTGTTCTTCTTTGCTGATGCTGTTCGTCCATGTTTGATGTATACAGTCATAACTCTGGAAACAGTTCCCCTTGCCACATTAAATAGCTGTGCTGTTTTTGTAACAGATGCACCAGATAATCGAGCAGCAACTATCTGGCATCTTTCAAACTCGGTTAAGTCACTCATATTGCTTTGAAAACCCCTACTGAAAGTGTTGACTGTGTCGTTTGGAGACAGACAATTCCCACCAAAAAACAGGCATCAGGCTTTGTTGGTGCTGCTTAGGTGCTCCAAAACCCTCTGACAGATAGTGTTTCCATTATTTTGTACAAGAAGCAGAGATCCAGGGGCAGAGAACGATCCACTCACTGTTAAGGTGTACTGTGTCCTCGTCCGTCTATAAATGGATGAAAATAAATAATACAGTGTACCACAAAGTAGGGCTTCAAACACGAGCGTTATATTAGTTTGAAACACCAAAACTAAAGGTACAGTTTATGTTCTGGATTAAAGTGAACCTATTATCAAGAACCACTAACCACAGGGAGCTAAAATGACAGGGGGCGCTGAATTAAAAACGTCACGTCAGGTACTGGACAAAATATACGAAACACTGTATAATCTGTGCAATTACGCTGTATTACCTAAAATCAATTTAGAGAGAATCTGCGATGATCAATCAACTCGAACTTTCGATGGTGTAACCTTAATGTTATTTAAGCTAGCCAGGTAGCACGCTACTATATTAGCTTTCATCAACAAAACAGGCATTCAGGGTAAGCTGCCATTTAAAGACAAATAAACTCAAATGTGTACTGGTGATGATGTGCTGTACTTACATCTAAAATGTATAACGTGATCAGTCTCTCCACATCTGTTGAATCAACGAGCTGCTGTTGCTGCATTTGTTTCACCAACAGAATAAAACACATCCGGTAGGATATTTTTCAGAATAAAAGCGTAAAGGCAAGTGATACCAGAACTTCCGGGTTCAGTTTCATGCTGCTTATGGGTTCTTAAAAAGTGTAAATTCTAAATGAGAAATTACTTATTCTGGGGTAATTTTGGATTCAACTAAAGATTATTATAATTAAGATACATTTTTGCCACCACAAAGGCTTTTTTTTCCCTGAAGAAATCCACAGCCACTCTGTTTTCCCATCTGTTGCTGCTTAGACACAGACTGGAGGTCAAGGTCAAAATATCATTGCAAAATAAGAGCACCTCTCAAAGGGTCAAGGTGCGTACACAACTGCTGGTCAGAACAGTAACCAAACACAGGAAAAGGACAGAAGACAGAGACAGGCGGGAGAAAATAGATGTATTTCTCCTACCAAAATCACTGAAAAATGCATCGGTAAATATTGCTCCACAAACACTGAAAAATTACAGCACATTTTTCTGAGTTAACCAAACAAGTCGACTTCAACACATTTATTTCTCTTTAAGTCAGGTTTTCCTCAAAAAGTCACATTATTCATAAACACAAACATACACCAGTACATGAACCTTAAACCTTAATGGACTGCAACTGGCATGCATCTGTCATCTTAAAATCTAATGCTAATACATAGGGCGTAAACTTCATTAAATATTATTAATGTTTATGCTATGATGGTTGAGTCTTATTTAAAAGTTAAAGAAAAAATTTTGCAGAGTTTGGGGTTACTGTTAAGTGTGTTTTCCTATTCAACAACAATTTGGACAAAAACATTTCATAGCTTCAGTCATACACAGTCAGTTGCCACTGGTTTAAATAGAACCTAAGAACCAAAAGGTGAAAACATATAACCAACAAAGATTAGGAAAAGCATCTTAGCTGCCTAAACTGACTCACCATCTATGTCCATTTTCAAGCCTTTCAAAAACATAATCAAACCTAAAGCCTTGATTAAAAAAACTGAAAAAGTTCAGCAAAATTGTCAGTTAAATGAAGGCATACTATGGCTTTACACAAATAGTAACCAGTCTAGATATAATAGAAAGTCCAAAATACAGCACATCGGACCA